CCAGGAACCACCAATTTGGGCAGGATTTCCATCAAAAGTTTTTAAATTGTCCCACAAGCCCCAGTCAAACCAGACTTGGCCTCACTGATATTTGCCAGTTTCACAAATTCTGATTTCCTAGATGGTGCCAACCTACCTAGATGATAAACAAAATAAAAGACTTTATTTTTCAACTTCCATGGGATAGTGTGAAATATTCCATGCAGCATTGTTGGGAAAAAAGGCTTTTGTTCATCTGACTCTACACCATCTACAGAACTACCACTGAAAAGGGAGATTTTCCACATTAATTGGATTTACAAGTAAAATGGCATGAAATGGTATAAAGGAATGACAGCTGATTCACAAGGTTTTTAAAAGGATGTCAAAAGGGAGAAAACATTGGAGGTCCACCTACATTTTAAAGGTAAAATTTCATGTGCAGAGAAAGAAACACAAGGAAAAACCCAAGAGAGCAGCAGGTAAATGGATTTGTATAATGGAATGAGGGGAGGGGTTAGAATCAGCACAATGGCTGATTTTTCTATTTTCTGTGTGCATTTCATGGATTTATTCAGCATCATCTTCTGTTTGTCATCTTTGTTCATCCACAGAGGGCATCTTGCACCAGAATAATTCTGTAAAACCAACCTTAACCATATTGCCTATGAACTGCAGAATTCCTTCTGAATTACCACTGAATCATGTGTGAGGGCAGGAATACATTCAAACCCCAACAGCTAAGAAAATTTCATGAGATTTGAGGTCTGAGAAAAAGGAAAAATCCATTGGGAATGAAAATTCAATGAGATGAGGTACAAAGAGGGGCCAGGAGAGGACACTGGGTGAAGGGATGGGAGAACCTGAAGGAAACAGAAGTTTCCAGATGAAATAATAACTGCAGGAAGGAATAATTCCAGCACCACATCACACTGAGGTCATTGCCTGGGACACAGAAAAATCCCAACCTGGCAGAGCTGTGCAAGTCCAGATTTTTTTCCACACGGTGGTGAAGACAATAAATAAATAAATGCAAGTCTGAGCCCTGCTGGAATGGTTTCCTTCACAATTAAAGGAAAACTTCACTCCAAAATTCATTGAGTCAATTAAAAAAAATCCAAAAAACCAAATCAGAATGTTCTGCTCAATTTTGGTTTGGCATTCTTTTAACTGAATAGGCAGAAGGAAATTCTCTCTTGAATGAAAAATGCTTTAACAAGCCCAAGTTGTTATTTAGAAGCCTTAATCCCATGTTAAAAATGGGTGAAAAAAACATTTTTTCCATATATTTCGCAGCACAAATGATTCTTTACATTGGGCCTGACTTTATAGATTTTCAGCACTGCCAAAATTCCACTTCAAATATTCTGTTTTCACAAAACTGCCTGCCTGTGGTCCAAAGCTCCAAAAGAAAGAGAAGTTATGGTGGAAGGCTGAACCCAAAATGCTCTATTAGAAACCCAGGCATGCAGCTAAAATTGGGAAAATATG